TTTTTCGCAGATCTCAGCTGTACGCACGGGCGTACGTGCGTATATGGACGCTATGCCCCTGACTACAGTGTATTATACTCTATTTACTACTAACCAAATGCCAAGTATGCTGGTCATGTACTTGAACGAGTATTGATATCTCCCTTGACTTTAAAAACTCTGTCACTGATCCTGTATGTCTTACATTGGGTGACTGATTACTTTGGACGACCCTGTGCTAGTTGTGGAACGCGGAATAAATGTTTCTTCTGGAATTGTGACCTTCTTGTCTCGTAAAGAGTTCACGTCTTCCTTTCCTTCTTCATAGAAGATTGCCACCCAATTAATTACGTCCTCTTCGCTTTCAGTTGCGACCTCGACGACCTCATTTGCCATTTGTCGCGCACTGAATCAAAGCAACGAGAACACGAGGCTGTACGGCTGTACGAGCTAACATCCGGCATAGAATTTCACGAAGTCGACGCATCATTGGCCAAAACGGTTAATCACATTAAGTATTAACTGGAAAAGGCCGTAATTGCAAACCACAGAGTTAAATTGTAAGCTGATATTAAATGAACCCTGATGCGTTGTAAAACAAAACACTTGGCTCGCGCTTGCAAAACAACCGGATGCCGACCGTGCTAAAGAGTGTTATCACCGCAGACACTTTTTTTTCACCGAAAACCGCGACTTAAAGGTTGTAATAACCGCAAACCGCTTAGTGTTTTGAAACCGCAATACCGCGAGTTAAAATAAAAATTACCGCGAAACCGCACCAAAAATAACGCAAAACCGCATCACCGCAAACCCTTACGTCCCCCTCCTGGAAACTTGTAAATTTTAAATTAATTGAGAAGAACTAAGTTTGATTATTTTTTTCACTGTTTTGAGATGTTTCTTTTTTATTTTCAATAAATACAACTTCTTTTTTTACAGAGGACTTTACCCTCTCGAATTCAACGAAATACCAGTCCTTTGTATGTCTCCTGAGCAACAGAATGGGTGTATTGCGATCTTTTTTTATTTTTAAAACAATAAGAAATAATTTCTTAGCTGTTTATATACTAACACCAAACAGACTTGCACGTGATTGCTTAGAGAGAGTGCACTGTTCAAACTTCAAAGGGAGTTCAATGACGAGTAAAAATATCAGCGCCCTGCTAAACTAAGCTCAAGGATAAGCTGGAATTTTGTAGACCAAAAGTGGAACAGTACAGTGTTTCTTCAACTTATTTGACAACGTCAATTTATGACGACCACACATTAAAAAGGCTTTCCAGTTTCAACCTTTTTAATCATAAGCCGATATCGCATGCAAAAACTTGACATGGCTACAGTTGCCACTGGCCCATACAATATACTTTTCTTCACTCTTTTGCTGATTCTTAACCTTTTAGGATCACTATCATCGGAAGTGATTTTGGTTAAGGACAATTTGTTCACCACGGAGGAGATTCGAGATATGAAGACTTTGCTGTCCCAGGAGGAAACATTCTGGGTATTCAAACCGATCAGTCAAGAGAGTTCAAATGATATTCCCAATGATATCCAGGGCAGTTTATCACGAGCCAGACAAGCGAACACCTGCTTCTCTTGGACTACCAACCTACCTTTTGACAGTTTTAAGAATTCTTCACCTTGGAGGAAACTTACAAAAACGCTTTCGTCAAACTTTGAAGCAAAAGGTGATTACAGGATACTGGGATTTGAAGGAAAAATTAACGTTAGAGGAACGCATCTGTGTGGTGAGAAGTCGATTGTGAATGAGCAAGATTTTGAGAGCTTTGTGGCTGTTATTTTTCTTGTAGATTGGAAATGCAATAGTTATGGTGAATTGGTTATTTACAATAATAAAGGGGAAATACTGAAAGCTGTGTATCCCAAACAAGGTAGACTTGTAGTCTTTCCTTCCACTCTCGAACATGTTCTCAAGCCACCGGCGAATGACCTCTCAGGACGCTTGTACGTGATGAAATTCCACATATCAGTGTCTGGTAAAACACAGAAAATTGGCACCACAGCTGGGGAAAAGGCCCTTGGTTTTAGTCAATACATTCCCAGTTTTAAACATCTGACCAAAGCTGATGCTTTTAATGTGGAAAAGGAAGACATTAAACAGTTTGTTACTAGAAATTTTACGACCAGTGATGGTCGACAAATTGTTGTGTTTGATGATGTTGTTCCTGCAAAAGAGCTTGATGCTCTGAGGTACACGATCATGAATGGTGGATACAATGACAATGCCGCTAGTGTGGATAGTACAGATAATGTGCAGTGGATAATGGCATTTGAGGCTGAAGAGTTTGTACAAACCTCTTTATGGCAACTAGCCAGCCAAATTATAAGAGCTGTTTCGGGTAAAGAAGGCTACTACCCTTATGACATTGGTTGCAATAATATACAGAATATGGACACCACAACCATTCACACAGACTGCGCATCTCATGAGAATGAGTTTACTCTGCTGATTTATCTCAATCAAAATTGGACCGAAAACCACCACGGTGAAACAGTATTCTTTAATGATGAGGAGAGTGAAGTTATATTTGCAGTTAGACCAAAATATGGGCGTGTTGCTGTTTTTCACGGGACAATTCCTCATAGCGCTCGGCCACCACTAGTGACATTTGCAGGTATGCTTTCAAATAAGAAGTGACGACTTCTGCTGGTGAAATAAATTTACTAGTGGTTAGGGACAAAATGGTGTATCATTATTGTTAAGCAATGTAGTATCGACTCTCAATGTCAAAGGCCTGCAATACCTTTCTGGTTTGTTGCACGCACTTTTTACGAAAACCTTTCTTGAAATAGCCGTATATTTTTGCCCTGGGTCATGGCTAGGCTCCATTGGTTTTTGTTTGTTTTCTGTTTACTTTTGGTTAGAGGGAAAGCAACATAAAACAATGCAAAAAATAAACCCTACCTTGACTTTGAGTTGTCAATATCACTGACTTCCTCTTATTTTTCCCTCTGTTACTTAAGGTAATTCCCTTTAAAAGGATGTACTTTCTGGACTTTTTTCCAACTTGGCACAAAAGTATATGGTCGTGTGTAGGACACGGAAAAACTGTGATAAAAAGATGGGGTCACACTACTTGTTTTTGCCCTGCTTGCCCATTGTATATTAAAGGTGTTTTTTTTTACTGACAACCCCAAAAATAAGCCCTTAAAAATTGTTATCATACTGCAAAACCCATAAATATTTAGGAAAATGAGATCCTTTTGTTTGTCTGAGCTGTAATCTTTCAGCAAAATTGTTTTTTGGAGTCAGGGATGCTTGAGCTGAACTTACTATAACTAACTTTTTAGTGCTTTGTTGTTGAGACTTAATTGGTTTTCAAAATATTTATGTAAAGTGCTACTTCAATGTTGAAATGTTATACGTAAACGTTTCACTTTGCTGCTGTTTTCTATTATATTCTTCAGGAGCAAGATTAAGTTTTGCAGTCAAAATGTCACCATCTAAGGAAATTGCAGAAAGAAAGTCCCTTTCTGTGGAAACTGACATTTTTCATGAAGCTTTGGAGACACTACAAGGAACTGAAGTGGAAAGAGTAAGGAACATTCTAAAAGATTTAAATGAAGGAAAATTGGATGCAGAAACATTAGAAAAACTTGTACAAGAGTATGAAGAAAAGCTGCACGTAGTTCAAATGGCTGAGACAGCAACAAATTGATTTCTTGAACTGCTATATCTTGCTAGCTGCTCTCATTTAAAGTGGTCGAAACTTGTTCATCAGCGCGCAGTTATATAAACACAGTTAGATAAACACCAAGCAAAAAACCTTACCAGCATCTGTCACGCAGGCTAATGGTGGATTGTTTGTTCACAACATTCCAATTTGTAGACAAAGCATGCAATTTGGGATTACATATTGTTCACGAGTAAGTTAGGAATCTGGAAACTTGTAAATTTTAAATCTTTTGAGAAGAAATACGTTTGATTTATTTTTGACTCATTTAAGATGTGTCTTTTTTATTTTCAATAAATACAACTTCTTTTTTTACAAAGGACTCTCGAATAAAGCGAATTCAACGAAATGAAAGTCCTTTGTATGTCTCCTGAGCAACAGAATGGGTGTATTGGCATCTTTTTTATTTTTAAAACAATAAGAAATAATTTCTTAGCTGTTTATATACTAACACCAAACAGACTTGCACGTGACTAGCAAAGGGAGTTCAATGACGAGTAAAAATATCAGCGCCCTGCTAAATTAAGCTCAAGGATAAGCTGGAATTTTGTAGACCAAAAGTGGAACAGTACAGTCTTTCTTCAACTTATTTGACAAAGTCAATTTATGACAACCACACAGTAAAAAGGCTTTCCAGTTTCAACCTTTTAAATTATTCTTTCCCTCCTGGCAGAGCCTTACTCACAGGAAAGCCGGTTTTACTCTCTCTTACCGCGTATATTAGTAAGTTCAAGCTTTCAAACTGTTCTGGAGACAGTTTGCAAGTGAATTGAAGAAAGATGCAAACATCACTTCTCAGCAGTGTTTACTGAGAAAAGTGGGAAAGGTTAAACTGAAGTAATTGCCTTTTTCGCATACACATATTTAATTGGTGTACACAGGTGTATGTAAATGCCCCTCTGATAAGTATTGGAAATCCAGATTGCTAAACTTGCCAAGTAAACAGTCGTTACAGGTTAAATTAGTTGAACTACATTTTTGATGGACAAGTTATGATGGTTCATTTTTCCAGAAACATCCTAGAAAGTGGTTTTTAATCAAAAACTTTTCGAAGTTAATAGGTGTATAAGGGTTGTTTATGCGACCATCAATCTGACCTAAGAAATTACTGGGGGATACATGTACTCGAGGGATCGTTCGGCATCAGACGATGGGCGGACCAGCAGGCGAATTTATAAAAATAAAAATACTAAGCCAAGTCTCCCTAGAGATAAAAACTGAATTCCACTGAATTGAAGGAGTTCCCCTTAATAATGTAGTTGTACTGATCTGATCTACTAAGTTGATAAAGTAGAATGTACACCGGGCACAAATCATTTCAGAAGCTTCAATTTTTTTACCCCTAGCCTCGTTCGACAGAGACTGAGCTCTCTAATGAAGGGGGTTAGAATCCATTCAATGGCTCAGTATACCTGGCCCGGCCAGTTGTTCAAAAGTTGGATAGCCGCACAATCCAGCGGATAAATCACTATCCAAAAGATAAGTATTAGGCAGGGAAACCAATTGCGCTATCCAGTTATCCAGTGGATGAAAAATTTATACAGTGGATAGCGTTATACACTGGATAAACGTAGTTATAAGGGGAGTAAAAAATTGCAATCAACCGCACCCACGTGTCTGTCTCAAACTACAGTAGAAAAAAGAAGAAGGTTCTAGAAAAAAAGAGCGTCTCACAAAGACTACATGTAGAACTTAGGGGGGATTGACTATGGGGTGGTAATTGAAGGTTATTGTTTTCAATGCAAAAGTGCTGTATCTATTGAAAAGTTGTCTCTTGAAAGGCTTTCTCTTGACAGGTGGCCGAGAGTAAACACTTTCTTTGTTGAACTGTCGACCATTATGTTGGTAAATCTTTACATTAGTTATCTATACCTAACATTTAAAATGCTAAATTACTCGAGCTTTATTTAAACTTCTCGACAAAACAGTAATCACAGTTAAGTTGCAATTAAAAGCTCATGTATCATTTTGTTTGAACCACTTAAAGTGGGACAGCAGCTGACGACGACCTACAACTGAAAACAGAAATCGCTGATTACTCTGGGAACTACACAATGCCACCAGCAATAACATATCCATGGGGGTTTTACAACAACTTCACAAAACCAAATTTTACCTTTTCAGTACCAACCTTTCCGCCAGGCTATAAGAACTGGGATGTACCATCCGAACCAGCTGCTCAAAATCCGATTAAGGACAGTGTTTATACCCTGGTTCTGCACATAATTCTCTTCACTATCTGTTTATCTGAAAATACTATTACTCTCTTTATTCTGTACAGCAAGATAAAAGCAGGAAAACAGACGTTTGCTCAATATATGCTGATTAACATCGCCTGCGTTGACATTTTAACGTCCCTTACACACTACCCCCCAATATTTGTCAAGTTTACTCATGGAGGATTCGTTTGGCTGGCACAAGGTCTTGCGGGAGATGTGTTGTGCACACTGTACAACTTTCTGCTACATCTTCCAGAAAAGGTGTTAATTCTCACTTTGGTCTCACTAGCATGCGACGCTGCGAGAAATTCTTCGCCAAAAGGTCGTCGAGAACACAGTAAAAAGTTCAGTTTAATCGTCGTTGTTTTATTTTGGATAACAGCTTCTGGCTTCTCGGCAATTTACTTCAGGATAAGCAAGGTTCAACCAAATATGGACCATCAGGCTTACATGTGTTCCACTGCGCAAGACAGTCGAATAACTGTCACCACATTGAACTTAATTCACTCTTTTGTGTTCGTAGCAACTGCGGATGCAATATTGACGATTGTAGGTGTTGTGGTGTTTATTAAAGTAAGGCGTCGGCTGAAAGAGATGAATAAGCACAAGCAAGATAAAGACAAGACCCAGTCTCGTGTGAGAAAGGGGCGCAAGCGTGAAATCAACTTGAAGAAAGACAATAAAGTTTACGACGGACTTTCTGAATCTATAGCCGATGTCGGCCAAGAGATGCAGGCTATGACAAGCAGCGGAAACAGAGCCGACGTCGAGACAGTTGGACATTCAGGTTCTTCATCTATCAGTCCGGTGGCATCTAAAGACGACAAGGAAAATCATGATGTTGTAGCTACCGAGAAAGACACAAATGCATCACTGGTCAGAAAATCCAGGAAGACTGTTGGCAGTCAAAAGAAAGAGAGAGGAAAGCAGTTTCACAATCCAAGAGATGAAGAAACCCAAGACACTCGACAACATACTCGAGAGCGTTTTAAAACAACGCAAATAGAAGCAAAAATCATGGGTGCCATATCATCTCTTTTCGTAATTATTTCCCTAACTCAGTTGGTTTTACAAATGGCATGTCCCTCCTGCAGCGTTTATTTATCTGCTGTTGAGATTGCGGCAGAATTGTACACAGTCATCAAACCTGAAATATACGCCATTATCGACAAAGAGTTCAGAAAGAAATACAAGCAATTTTCACCCATTGCTTGCTGTTGTTTCAGGAGGGCAGCTGGGAGGGTAGGGGTCCCGCGGGCAGCGCAGCAAGAGAGAGAGACACGCCCAACGACAACTTAGTCGGCCTTGTAACATTGGTTTCTCTGTGTTCGCTTGAACAGGATCACTAACCGTGCCTCAAAATAACCGCAACTTGCATTTGATTATATGTATTATAAACCGCTCATTAAAGTTTGTTGGATAGATAACTGAATACCAAGAGAGGTTTGCAGAACATATTTTTTTGCGTATATAGTTGTAATACTCGCTCTCGATCGGTCATTGCGAGTAAGACCGCACTCCTCCAAAAAAGGCAAAGATGCAATTACTTATCTTGAGTAAACATTTTTATGGGCATACATTTTTAAAAGACCTTGGTTGCTGACAGCTTTGTGAATGACGGGAGAGGCGTAACTTAAATTGAGAAACGTTCATTAGTTATGAGTTTAAATGGGGCAGCTTGGAAGATTAATTATCAACTTCGTTGCGCTGTAGTGTTTTAGCGAAGTTACTAATGCAAGCGCGTGGGGCGCGACACCTGATAATCGAGCCGCGTGCAGTTTTTACATTCAAGAAACCGCTGTAAAGTATCGGTATCGCGTACCTAGGGAGCCTGATTAAAGAAGGGAATACTTCCCCACCACTCAGTACCTTGAAGTTGTTTCTACACTCCATTGGCTCTTACAGTTTTTTTGTTGTCAAAAGTTCAGTTTCTGAATAAAACGTACGTTCTGCCTTTAGCTGACAAATGTGGAAGGTACGTCCTTGAATTAGTGTTTAGTAATAGTTCCAAGGTACTTTATAGTGAATCAGAGAAAAAAACCATACTCCATACTTCAAAGGTGGAGTTTAAAAAGGGGGGGCTTCAATGTAAAAGTTAGAAACCCATATACTCGCACGAATAGACAAAACTGGGACAGTATAACTCTTACTTGATTCTACAGTAACATACAGTATAAAGTTTACAATGTGATAAAATTAAGTGATCAATCAGGTGAATATTATAACAATAACAGTTACTGTAACAATAAAACCGATTTCCTCCAGTAAAGAACTATGTACATTTTTCACTGTTTTGTCTTCTTCTTTCCTTTGCGAGTTTTCTTTTTCGTCTTAGAGTCCACGATCTGCTGAGAATAGCGTTTAATTGCGTTCCTGGACAGAACGTCTTCATCTTCACCGCTTTCTTCATCATCTGACAACAAAAATTAAGATGAAAAATGAGCAAGATCATGTATGGTGAACTTTTGCTGATACAAATTGTAAATGATCGATTTACGTTTTGCTTAATACAAAAAAATAAGCAGTTCCAAAGTAAGAGTTTTCAAAGTAAGAGTTTTGAGCACAGGTTAATGAACTATCTAAAGAGAACTTTCGCTTTATACAGCGGAAGCTCTCTTAATGGACACTCTCATAAGCAGAGAGCTCTACGTACGGCCACCTTTACAAAACTCCATTTTTCTCAACTCCCACACAAATTCTTAATTTGTACATTCTCGTAGGCGGCGAGCTCCAGGTATGGACATCTTTTTCGCGTCCCGAAGATGTCTACTTATGAAAGCTTCCACTGTATCCAAGCCCCTCACTCAACTCAACCACGGAAAGATTTTGCAAAGAACTATCATATTTGTCCGAAAATCCTAATATAGCAATCCCGGAAGATAACCAAACATCTTGTTATAATCTTTAAGTAAAAAATATCCTCTTTTCCTGCGATTTTACCGTGATTCAATGCCTAAAGCACAGTAGAAAGTTATTACAAAATTAACTGTTACAACCAAACTGGGTAGCATAACTCTCTATCGGTCACCCTGGGGTCTTTTTACAAATCTTAATAATGCATAAGAAAGGTCATTAGTGTTTAAATGAGTTCTTTAACTAGTTTCTCTCCTCTTTACTTACCGTCATATACAGCTAGTCTATCAGAAGTCATGGGCAGCTTAATTCGAGTGTTATGTTGTGGGAGCTTTCCTTCCATTGTTGCACGGAACTGCAAAATAATACAAAGTAAATTGGCTTAGTTC